CTCTTGGACACTCCAGCCCTCACTTCTCCCCCCACTGCCAGGCCTTGGCCACTGAGATGCCCCTGGGACGTGGGCACTGATGGAGTCCAACAAGGTCCAACACCAGCACAGGCACAGTGGGGAGGTGGGCTCCGGGGACCCCGCCTTTGTGCAATGACAGCTGCCCCCACAAGCCCGAGCTCGTCTCATCCTGAGCAGATGCCCGAGGGGCCCGGCTGCCCTGCTGGCACTGTGTCCCCCACAGCTTTTCCCACAGCCAGGCAGCCCAGGCTCCCCTTGCAGAGGCCCCCCCACACACACACACGTGTTGCACACTCACACACTGGCACACAGGCACACTCCAGGCTAGCCCGGACGGCATCTGCCTGCTCTACCCCACATCACGGCCCCGCCTGGCCCTGCACCCAAGTCTCTCCCCATGTTTAGGGCCCTTTCAGGTCCTGGGTCAGGTCCCCACCTCCACTGCGGAGCACTGAGCTTGCGGTGGGGCAGGGTGGGGTTCCCTCTGGGGCACCTGGGAGAGGCAGGGTGGGCCCTGGCAGTCCCTCACAACCCCCACCCGACGGTTGCCCCCCGGCCGGCCTTAGCTGCACTGGACCTGGAATTGCAGCGTGAACTGGGAGAGAGGTGATGCACACCTTACGTAACCGGTGCAGCTGGGGTCAGAGTTCAGTGGGGCGGAGCGGAGGGCGGAGATCCTTCCAGGGCTGTAGGGCAGGGAGGGGCGGGGTGGGAGGCCCCCTCCAGGCCAGCAGGGGTTGGGGAGGGGCCATCCTGCAGACCCTAGAGCCTGTTCAGAGCCTGGGGGACACCCAGCTGGCGTTCAGAGTAGACAGAAGACCCATTTTGGGGGTTTGGGTCTTTCGCTCTTTTTAACCCTCAAACCTTCCACTGCTCCCAGGAGAATAAGGCAGCTGCGAGGTCAGCAAAAGGGAGGGAAGGGGGGGGGCAGGAGGCAGAGGCCTGGCCCCGGGGGCTTGGGGACTGGGGCACCATCCTGGGCCATGAGGAGCCCCTTTCTCCCCCTCCCGCATGACCCCGCTCATGTCCTCTTCCTGAAAGCCCTGAGGTGTGGAGAAGGGTGGTGGAGAAGCTCAGGGCCCACCTCACAGGGCAGACAGAGCCGGCTTGGGCCCGCTATTGGCCTGAGCAGACCACTCGGGGGGCCAGGGCCGGGCGTGCGGGGCCACCCCCCCCAGGAGCAGCCTCCACTCATAAATGCGTCTGTGACCTGACCCTCCCCAAAATAAAACCCCCGAGACCCACAAGAGAGGCCCAGGCTGGCGCCACCTGTCTGAGCCTCACAGTGGCCGCCAAACCCAGCGAGGAATCCCAGAGGCGAGGACACTGCCCAGCGGGTCCGATTCTTCAGGCTGGATGCCCTCTTCCTCTCCTGCCTGCTCCCTCCCCTTCGCCTGCCCCAGGAGGGGCGAGGGGAGCCCCCTCCAAGCCCTCAGGAGCCCATGAGGGTTTTGTCTGGCTGGCCCGTCCCCCCTTGCCCCCGGGCCCCCCCACATTCCTGGAACCAGGGCTGAGGGCCCAGTAGTTTCTTGCCTCTTGAGCTGCAGAAACTTCTGTTGGTGCAAAGATGAGTCAGTCGGCCCTGAAGCACAGAGCAGTCCTGTCTGAACTGCCCTCTGTCCACCCCCCCTCGCTGCTGTGACGGACCCAAGCAGGAAACCACTCATTCCTCTGGAGCTTCACTGGGCTCCTGGGGCCACAGGGGGAAGCTGGGAGGGGAGGCACAGCCCAGGCCCCTCAGCCCAGCCTGGCTCCTGCCTGCTCTGCAGGCGGCATCACTGGGCACGGCCCGGGCACTGCCCACAGGACGATGGGTCCATGGGTGCGGCCACTGGGGAGGCTCCCGAGGGGGGTCAGGCCACCAGCAGCCTCCGCACCGCAACTTCCCTGGCTGGGCAGGCCGTGCCACCCACGGGGAGGCCTCGGCCAGACCTGCCTGCGAAGGAGTGCACAGCCGTGTGCCCCAGGACAGCTGCAGTGAGGGCACCGGGTCTCGCCAGCCCGGGGCGCAGCAGTGACGGTTTAGAGTGCGGCCACCACACTGAATAGCGGGCACTGAGTCCCCTGTGGAGGCCACACTAGCCCCGGCCCCCGGGAAGCCCACCTGGCCAGTCTGCTGGGGGGACGGTGGCACAGCCCCACCTCCACACACGCAGGACACCGAGAACACATCATGGCGCCACTTCAAACAAAATCCCCAACAAAAATTCAAAAAATGTAAAAAATATGGCACCAACTAGTCCAGGAGGGGACCCGCCTGTCCTGAGAGACGGACATGTCGAGGTTGCTGGACAGTCACCGAAGGCTCAGTCTCTGCAGCTTCACACACGTCCCCAGGTGATGGCCGAGCAAGGGACTGATCTTGGGACTACAGAGACCTTGTGACCGGTCCCCAGACACAGGCTCTGCAACGCTGAGCCCCGCCAACCTTGTGCCCTGGCCAGAACACAGAGCCCGGCACCCAGGACCTCGCTGGAGTTCAAACGGAGATGTGCCGGGAAGCACTCGTGGAAGCTGCCACGAGGGTGGACACGGTCACAGCGGCCGAGCTGCAGGAAGCCACACAACAAGGGGCGGGCGGGGCAAGGGTGATGGCAGGGGGGACCGGGCAGGCATGCCCCGCACCACCGCGCACCACCACCGCTCACCATCAGCAAGCAGAGGCGGAACGGGGACCCCCGTACCACCTCTGCTCAGGCAGGGCTGTGTCCCGTGCAAGGGAGTGTTCGCCCGTGTAAGGGAGTGTCCTGTGTAAGAGTGTGTTCCGTGCTCGTCGAGTGTGTCTATTTGTTTTTCCAGGATGAGCCGTTGAAAAGCTTGTCAACTCAGTCCCCATAGGGCTGACCGGGGGGTGGGTGGTCCAGTGGGTGGTGGGTGGGCGTGTTTTCACCAGCTTCATTCTGCAGCAGCATCAGAGGGTGTCTCAGGGGCACCCCTGCAGGATATAAAAGGTAAAATGTTTTAAAAGGAAAAAGGTAAGAAGCCTTCCGGGGGCTGAGCTGACAACTGAAATGAAACCCAAGGCCAGGCTGCTGCTCGCGGTCCTGGGTGGGCCTCCGCTCCCCTCTCAGCCAGGTGGTTGGGCTGCACACCCCCGCCCCAGCGCCGTGCTTGGGGGGACGCTTCCCCCTGAGAGACGCCCGCGCTGCCCACCCGGCCCAGCCTCCGCGTGTGTGCCTCAGGTGGCCGCGCGGCGCTGCCCAGCTCCTCCGGGTTCTGTGCAGGTGGGCCTCCTGCAAGGCGCCCTCCCAGGTGGAAGCCTGGGCTGGGGCCCCTGTCCTGGAGCCCACTCGCCCTGGACAGACGCCGGCCCTGGGGTGCAGGCCTCCCTCCAGCCTCCTTCTCCCCACCCAGCCTGTCTCTGGGTGAGGCCTCGGGTTCTGCCTGTGCCCCAGGCCCAGGTGCGTGAGATCGAGGGTCAGAGGCCAGGACGCCCCACCCAGCTTGACTGCTCTCCAGCCCCACCATCCTCCCAGCCCGGGCCTGGAAGTCACTCCACTTCCTCTCCTACATCCCTCAGGCGACTGGATCAACAAGCACACCTACTGACCACAGCCGGCAGCCAGAGGCCAGCCAGGCATGGGATGAGTCAGCAGGCCTGCCTCCCACCCCCACTTCCTGGCGCTGTCAGAATAGGAATCCAGGGGAGCATGGAGAGGCCTGAAACCCAGCAGGGGGTGCGGGGTGCAGAAGAAAGGCTTCTCTGCGGAGGCAGGACCCCTGGGGGCCTTCCTACAGCTGCTGCCCCCCACCCCCCACCCCCCCAGGGCTCGGCTCACTCTAGGAACTGGGAGTCCGGTCCAGAAGCAGCTGCCACAGGCACGTGTCCCCAGGCTGGAGGGCATCCAGCAGGCAGCAAGCACCCTCCTCGGCCAGCTCTCCCAGGCATGCCCCGCACTTAGGGGCCCTCGTTCAGCGCTGGACAGTAGCCAGAAGCAGCTCAAGGAGACTTCCCGTCCTGAGGGTGGACAGTCCCAGGTCTTGTCCCCACCCACCAAAGGGGCACCCCAAGCACCCAGAGGGCATGCGGTTGGCCCCAGGGCAGAAGCTGGGGCAAGGCTGGACGCCACCAGGACTCCAGGCTGAAGTCACTGCATCCAGGGCCTTCCCTGAGCGCCAGCCCCTGCCTCCCAGCCCCACACAGGGGCATCCGCCTGCCTCCCACGCCCTCTGCCCGCACATCAGGTCTCCGGGAGCCTTGTCCGGACGGGACAGCCAGTGCTGACCGACACTGTACCCGCCTTCGCTCACCTCCCCTAGTTACGACCTCCAGAGGCGCTAGTCGTTCCTTCCCAGGTGGGGACATTGAGGCTGGGCAGTTCCCAACCTGTTGGGGCCCAGGTCACACCCCAAGAGTGCTAGAGTGGACGCCCCGGCAGGCTTGGGTCTCCACGACAGATGGAGACCGCAGAGCCGCCTCGTGGGCCCGGGTCTGCTGGGTGAGAGAACAAGGCCACGGCACTCCCGGCTGCTGGGGGCAGGGCAGCTGCCCCAGGCCTCCTGCCTGCCCCGCCCTGTGGAGTCCATGGCCGTCAGATCTCGGGGACCCCACCGCGGCCCGTGGCAGACGGCGGGGGTGCTGCGCGCGTTGACCTGGTCGATGGGGAACCTCTCCACCTTAAGAGCCCGAAGAGAAAGCTCAGCCGCTGGCCCGCTGAGCAGGGGTCCCACCGCAAGGCGGGGCAGCGAGAGCCTCGCCGCCCCCGGGGGTGGGCTGGGGAGGATGCGAAGGGAGGGCACGGCGGAGGCCAAGACGCGAGGTGCACAGTACGGTCCGAGGCGGGCGGAGCGCCCCCTGCCCCCGGGGGAGCCCGGCTGGCAGCGGGGAAGGGGCGGGCCCCCGAGGGAGGCCGTCCGGGTATTTATAAACGTGGGAGATCCCCCGAAAGAGCCCGGCGGGCCGGGCCCGGCGGGCGGAGCCTCCTGGGCGCCCCGCTCCGCCCCCGGCCCGCGCCAGCCCCGCACGTGGTCCGGCGGGCGGGGCGGGGCGGTGCCTGCTCTTCCTCTCGCGCCACGCCCGAGCCGGAGCCCGCGTCGGAGCCCTGCACGTCCCGCCGTGGGCTGGCCGTCCGCCCGCAGCCCGGGGCCCGCTCGGACTGAGCCCCGGCCGCCGCCCCCGCCCGGTGAGTAGGCGCCTCTGGGCCCTTCAGGGGCCGCGGGGAAACAGCTCGCGCGAGGGGAGCCGCGTGGTGGCGGGGGCGACCACAGGGCTCCCCCGGCGCCTGCAGCCCGCGCCCACCCGGGGCTGCCACCCCGACGCGGACACGCCGCCCGAATGGGCGCAGCCCGTGGGTGCTGGGGGGTCGAGCGAGGGTCGGCCGGGAGCTCGGTTGGCAGCACGATTTCCCCGCCTGGCGGCTGCCACATCCTGACCATGAATCAGCCCCAGTTGGGAAAATAAACTTCAACTTCGTGCCGAACGCCGGGGCAGAGAGCCGGGCGCTGCTCTCCGTCCCTCCCGGTGGGGCTGCTGGGCGGGTGACTGGCTGGCCCTTGCTCCCAAGTCTCACCGTTGGACCGCCTTTCTGAGCAGTGACGCCTGGGCGACCAAGTGGGCCTCCGCCAGCCCCCAGGTGCTCCGCCTCCTCCTCTCCAGAGGTCGACACTCCCACCCCGCGGGGGGGGGGGGGTCGTTCCTTCCAGCCCCTCCCCCTGCTCCCTCTGGCAGTGGACCTGGCCAGGCACTGGGCTCTGCGGGCCGTTTCCCCACCTGCACTCCGAGAGGTGGGCACCGTGGCCCGGACTTGGACTTCTTCCCCGCCTTCCTGCAGTGGAGGAGGCAGGGGCTGGGAGCCCACGTCCCAAACCGCCCCGCAGTGCCACCCCGGCTGGGGGGCCTTTGGGAGTGGGGGCTGCATCCCGGGTGGATTCCGTCTGCTCCGAGGCCGCACACCGCCCCCGCCCCCACCAGGTCAGCGGTGGGCCCGGGAGGCGCCCCTCCATCATCTGTTCCCTAAAAGTCTCCCAGTGGACGGGAAGGGGCCGTGCTGGGGGCCTGGGCTGCGGGGGCAGGTGGGGCTGCCTCCTGTGACCACCCAGCCCACCTGCCCCTGCTGCTCCCTCAGAGCAGAACGGGCCCCCCTCTGAGGAGGCGCTGATGGGCTGTCAGAGCTAATTGTGCGCATCTCACATTTGGGAACCTGGAAGTTCCTGCCTTAAATAGACTGCGCCCCCCCCCCCCCCGCCGTCCCCGGGAGCACTTGTTCTCCAGGACGAAACAGTTAGCAGTTCCAAAAGGTGCAGGAGGGGTGGCAGCGTGGTGCAGCCCGCCTGGTGTGAGCCTCCCGTGGGCCGGGGACCCAGTCAGGACCCGGACGGGGGTGTTCTCGGAGGCAAACTCAAGCCCCTGGCTTTTGATGGTGCCCAGGGGAGGATTTGGGGTACACCCCCGCAGCCCAGCCCGACTTCGCTGCCTGGCCCCTTCCTGCGTGCGCTCTTGCACATAGTAGGTGTCTAATACTTGCATGGCTCAAGGCTCACTGGACACAGTAGGTTGGGGAAGACAGCCCATCTCTGTATCGGGACCATGGTTGGAAGTGTCTGAGAGACACAGGCCAGGGGGGCTAGGAGGCTGGGACAGGCACCTGGGGACCCAGATGTCCGAGGTGAACCGGCTGGTTTTGGCCCACTCTGAGAGAGTTCATGGGAGGGGGTGAGCTCCCGTCGCTGCAGCGCGGGCACGCGGACCACCGTGGGGAGGGGAGCCTGTCTTCTGACAGCTGCAGTGACACAGGAGCCACTGGGGCCGGTGCCCTGGGCAGGGTCCCTGCTGAGCCGGCGAGGGAGGGAGCGGAGGGATGAGTGGAAAGGACCAGCCGGCTCCCACCCTCACGGCCACCTCCTGAGGGTCGAGCTGGTCATTCCCACGTTCCACAAAAGGGAGAGTGAAGGTCTGGGTGGCAGGCATTTACAAAGCCCCCACTGTGTGCGTCAGCCTGGGCGCAGGGCCAGAGGCAGGTGTGCAGCGCACTGGGCACCTGGAGGCGGCTCCCAGGGCCCACGAGCGGGCAGGCCGTGCCCCTGCCCCCGTCACCAGGGCAGCGTGCCCTCCGAAGCCCAAGTGGAAGGAGGGCTGGGGAGGGTGGACTGAGGGCCCAGCCCGCAGGGAAGCAGAGCATGGCCGGCGCCTCTGGGGGCCCGGGCGGACCGTGGCCAGTGGGTGGAGGCCAGCTGGAGAGCCTGCCTCGGCAGGTGGCAGCAGGCCCCTTTTCCCATTTCTCAGTTGGTGACTCTGAGGCCTCACATCAAAGACAGTGTGGAGGCTGACCAAGCGCCAGGTGTCCCGTTCCAGCCACACAGCCCTGGTGGAGGTGTCCCTGCGGGACCTTGGAGCCTGCACTCGGCCGAGCCCCAGCCCCTCCTGTGCCCACAGTGCACCGCCCCCGCCCCGGAAGTGTGCATACACAGAGGCCCAGCGACCCAGCCTGTAGGGCAGGGCTCGAACTTGTCCCCGGCCAAGTGCTGGTGCACCTGGCGAGCTGTGGGAGAGTGCTGAAGTCTCCCGGCCTGTGCCCGGCCCCCGAGCCCCCAGGATGTGGCCTCCGTGTGCAACCTGCCTCCCCCGCCATCCCTGTCCCCAGTCCCATTTCTGCTCCAAGTGCAGCTCGGCTGCCGCCCGCACACGGCAGCAGGGAGGCAGACATCTGCTCTTCACCCACCCCCGAGGTTGGGGGGGCTGCCTCCCCACGTGCACGGTGCTGAGTGGCCTGAGAAGGGAGCCCCCTCGGAGGGCACCCTGCTAGGCTGCCCCCACCCAGGGTGGGGGAAGGGCAGCTGGGCCAGATGGTGGCATTGGGGGCAGAGGAGGGGGAGGACAGCCAGGACGGAGGTCCCCTTTGAGGGGCTGTGCGGAGCAGCCTGGGAGGGGCCTTGCTAGCCCTGGTTCCCTGGGGAAGAACATCGTGCCCATTTCACAGGTGAGAAGAGTGAACCCGGAAGGCGCCCAGCAGGGATGCTGCCGGGAATGCCGAGGGTCTCGCTTGCCTGGTTGGGCTGGGCTCCTGGCACCACGTCCCAGCCTCATGTGGACCCAGCAGCCTGGGGGTTGGGGGCGGCATTGACACTCTCGTCCCCATTTGAGGATGGAACCAGGGCCTGCAGAGCCTCCTGGTCTCACCCCAAGCCTGAGCTGTCCCCTGCCTGCCCCTCCCCAGCCACCACAGCCCCTGGCAGTGCTGGGTTGTGTGGGCTGCAGCCCCTCCTCCACCCTCCATCTGCTGCTTTGTGTGCTGTGCTCTGGGGGCAGACAGCCCGGAGCTGGGACACAGGGCAGGGCTGGGGGCAGGGATGCCACCCCAGTACCCTGCGGCCCAGAGGTGCACACACGCCAGAGCCAGTCTGCAGCCCATCCCTTCTTCCTGGGCACTGGGCGTTCTCCCTGGGGGCAGGAGAGGCCTTTTCTGAGGGTCAGAGGGGGACCTGGGAGGGGCACAGGGCCTGCTGGAGAGAGGTCTTGGAGCAGGAACCCCGGCGGTGGGCACATCCTTCCTGGGCCTTGGACCCTGCAGGTAGAGGCAGCTGAGGCTGGTTCGAGCGCTGCCCACCTTGGGCCCACCAGGTCCCTCAGCCTGTCCTCCCTGCCCCGCCCCCAGCCCAGGTCTGTACACATCACTCCCTCCAGTGTCCAGTGTGCGAACTGACTCAACCACTGGAGATGTAGGGTGGGGTGGGGGATGCACTGTCTGTCACCTCTGGCCCCCGTGCCACTCCCCCAGTGCAGACTCTCAGCCTCGGCCGTGCCCTGAGTGTCCAGGTGGCCAGGCCCCCACCCTGGGAGCCAGTCATTGGCCCCGCTCTGTGCAGCCTGGGAGGCTGAGTCCCTTGGGTGACCACGAGAGGCAAGGGCAGCGGATCCCTGCCAGCGCTCAGCGCAGGTGGAAGTGAAAGCCTGGCTTCCTGGCGAGGGTGCTCCACCCTTCCTGTCCCCTGGCTGCGCTGGGCCTACCCCCGGGGGACGGGCCCTCCAGGCCTCGGCAGCCTGTTCCCAGAAAACCCAGCGCCCAGCTTAGGGCTGCGCCGGGGCGGGACCCCACGCCAGGCAGCACTGCCCACCCCGTGACAGGCATTTCCTGTTTGCTCAAGTCCTCTGCCCACCCTCTCTGAGCCTTTCTTGGCTTTGAGCCGGAGAGACCCAGCCCAGACCCCTGTCCCTCCCTCCCTCCCGCCCCCCAGGGGTCTGCCCTCCACTCTCCAGTGCCTTAAGCTGGGGCGGCCACTCTGGGAGGTGCTGTAGGTCCCCTTCACCCTCCCCCTGTAATTATGAAAATGACTACGTTCCCTCCAGTGCAATTTCTGTCAGTGTGTCCCGTGTGGCATGTCACGTTTCGTGCGGTCAGGGTCCTGCACAGCGCGGCGGCCCACCTGCTGCCCTGCTTCTCGCCTGTGTTTCGGTTGGGCAGTGTGCCCCGCACCCCTACCTGGGATGAGCCCACTCAGGTGACCCACTCGGGCTGGGGAGGCCCCTCCAGGGCTGGTGGCCTGGAGGGGAAGGCGAGGCAGATGCCGGGGGCTCAGAAGGAGCCAAGGTTGACAGACGGGTCACGGCAGGACGGTCTCAGCCCAGGGGCCTCGGCTGCCCCGAGCATGAGGGACTTAGCTGGTAGGAACACCACCAGGGGCTGCCAGGCAGTGGGAAAGTGTGGGTTCCTGGAGCAGCTAAAAATACAGCGTGGCGGCCCTGCCTCCCATCCCGGAATCCCGCTCCTACCTACTCACCCCCCCCCCCCGGGGAAGACAGGCTCGCTCTGCATGCACCCCCGCTGGCTCAGGGCCCAGAAGCACCCAGTCCCCGTGCCGATGCTGGCTGAGTCACCCGGCGGACCCTGGGAGCCCTAGCCGCTGGCCCTGCTCCGCCTGCCTCAGCCTGGGCCACCGGCCGCCCCAGGCTCAGCGAATGCAAATTCCTGCGCAGGCCCCGCCCCTCGGCTGGGGAGCTGCAGGACAGGGGTCACATTCCTGTGCCTGGGGTCGCTCCACCCGGGTGTGGCTGAGCCTGAGAAGGTCCCGGTGCCCCTCCCGGTCTTGGCTCCAGGCCTCGCTGGGAGGTAGCCACAGCCTGTGGGCAGCGCCAGTCAGCAGGGCAAGGAGGGTGGTAGGCAGTGGGTCCACACACGGTATTGCCGCAGCCGAGAGGGTCAGGGGCTGGCACTCGGCACCCACCGGGCCCAGTTACTCCGTGGAGGAAGCTGCTGCCCCCCTCAGAGACACCAGCAGTCACTTCCTGGGGGCTCAGGCCAGGAGGCCCAGGAGGCCCAGGACGCTGCCTCGGCGCCCACGGGCTGTCAGGAAGGGTGGTCCCGCAGCCCCACTCCCGGGAGCAGCGCCCAGCAGCGCCCTCAGGAGCCAGAGGCCTGGCCGGGACCTTTCCTGCGCCGCCTTCTCAGCCCTCACTCCCTGCCGCCCAGACGGCTGGGCTGAGGCTGCTGTCGGGCTGCCCGGCCTGTGCCCAGCGGGAGATCGAGGGGACACTGCCCTTTCACCCTATGTGTGTTGATCTCACTGTGTGCGTATAATGTACATGCACATGACACGCACAGCGTACGTACACGTGATGTCATGTACGTTCACAGGTTAAGCTGTCCAGAAGAGAGGGCTGCCCTGAGGGGGGCTGGGCGGCTCCCAGGAAGTGGAGTGTCCGGGTGACTGCTCGGGCAGCCCCTTTGGCCTTCCCTGGCGGGTCCCAGGCTGGAAGGGGGAACAGAACAGGGAGGCTTCCGGGGCAGTTCCTGCGGAGGAAGGGCCGGCTTCCTGGGCAGGCCGTGGGCCGGAGTTCTGTCTTCACGTGTGGTCCGGCCCTCTTCATTTCCTGTGTGCAGCCAGTCATCCCAAAAGCCAGCGGAGCACCTCTGGGGAGACGTGCTTGGCCCCGGACCTGACACTGGGGACTCAGGGTGGGAGAAGAGCCGTCCCCACCTCAGCCACCACGTCCCCAGCTGAGCTCGTGGATCCGGCTGGACCCCCCACCCACATGGGGCCTCAGCCAGCAGGGCCTGGCCAGCATAGGACCCTTGTGGACAGATAGGATCGGTCACCTCCCATACCACAGACCAAAGGGCTCGGTGAACAGGGTCTGGGAACCGAGCCTGTGGCCCTGGGGACAGGGCACTGGACAGGCCTAGGGCGTGCTGGCCGTCTCTGAGGTGGGATTTTTCTGTGTCCAGGGACCTTCAGGGCTCTTGGCCGGATAGGACACTAGAGATTCCAGAGGCCTGGCCTATTCTCGCTCTGTCCACTCAGCCTCTGCCCCAGAGACAGGGGCGCTGGCCAGTGGGGCGGGGCCTCCAGCAGCGGCACCCAGGGGGCAGCAGTGTGTGCGGCTCTCCTTGGTGCCAGGAGCCGGGGCTGCAGCCGGGGAGCTCGGCTGCCAGCAGTGATGAGAAGCCAAGAGAGCAGGAGGGGCGGCCCGAGGCCGGGTCTGGAGTGGGGAGGCAGGGGCAGCTGGAGGGTCTTGCGCATCTGGGTGAGTAGACGGTTGGGGGGCGGAGCGGGCCGGGAGGGCTGGTGAGCCCAGGGAGGCTCTGGGCCCCGCGGGAGGGGTGCCGAGCACCCAGCTCCTGCCGCTTCTGCCCACAGCCATGTCCACACCCACTGCCTGTCAGGATGCTCCCGACAGACTAAGGTCAGAGGTGCAGGTGAGGAAACCGAGGCCCAAACAGGACAGTAACGGGGCCAGAGCTGGGCACCCACACGGGTCAGCAAAGCCCCTCCTCCTCTTTGCCACGCTACCTCCCGGGCTGACCCCAGGGGCTCGGAAGGGCAGTTGGCCAGGTGGGGGGACGCGGGGCTGCAGAAGTGCCGGGTGTCCTCAGGCTGTTCTCTGCTCCCCGCAGGCCCGGGGGTGGGCTCCGGAAGCTCAAAGGAGGTCACCCCAGAGCCTGTCCAAGGCAGAGTGCGCTGGGGGGGGCAGGCACCAGGGCTCCCATCCCCTCGGCCTCCGTGCCCTGTGAGGCCTCAGACGGCCTGGAGTCTCTTCTTAGAGCGAAGCCGTGTCGGCCTCCCCAGCCCACGGCCCCTCTGGGGTCCGGTCTCACCGGCTCTGCCGTTTCCAACTCCAGGCGGTGGGCACAGGATGAAGCGTCCCTGAGTGTCCCCTCCACTCCCCGTCCTGTGGAGTGGGGTGCACACAGCCTGCCTCGGGGCGGAGGGGCGGGGGTGGAGGGTCAGGAGGCCACGCCGAGGCCAGGCCCTGGGTGTGGGGCGCAGTGGCATCGCCTCCCTGCCCTGTCGCTCCGGTTCTCTCCACACCGCCCTTCTCAGACGCTAAATATAAGACCATGCCATGCCAGGACAGCGTGGGGCCGTCCTGACCCGAGGGGCCGGTCCCTAGGGGCTGTGGCTTGGGACAGCGTCACTGCCGAGAGCCGCAGGGAAAGGGCTTGGTGGGTGTGGCGATGACGCAGGCACATGTTGGGGGACATTCTGGGGGTGTCACGCCTGTTGCAGCAGAATGTGGGTAAACCTTCCCACACTGAGGGCCTGGGGGGACACCCCTTTCTCCACCTACACACAGGAGCCAATCCGAGGCCCACGAAAGCTGGGGCCTGGCAGGGCTGCCCCCCCCATGGGGCCCTGGTCTTGCCCAGCACTGGGCATGACTCTCAAGTCAGTCCCCGCCCCCCACGCCACACTCACGTACTTCGGGCATCCTGAAGGTGCCGGGGTCTGGAACCAGCCCACCCACCTGCCGTGTCCATCAGGCCCATCCACACTGGGCAGGGGAAGTGCCCTGCGGCTGAGGTGGGGCGTCCGGGACACAGTGTCCCAGTGATGTCACTGCGTCGTCACCATTGGGTCGGTGGCACTGCTGCCAGTGTAGCCCCTGGGGTCCTCACAGGCACAGCAGGGCAGTGCTGCCCCTTCCTCGGTTGCTGTGGTGACGCAGTCGGGGATGGGGACAAGGAGCACTGCCCCAGGAACTGGCTCCGTGTGCTGTGGGGTGTCCCCAGGAAGCGAATCGGTTGGGCGGGAGGAGATACGGAGGCGGAGGACACAGCCCGGCCGCCCGCTGACGCCCTGACTCCCTCTGGCCCCGCAGCTCGGCAAGATGTCGCTGAAGGAGGGTGCGCAGCGCAAGTGGGCCGCGCTGAAGGAGAAGCTGGGGCCGCAGGACTCGGACCCCACAGAGGCCAACCTGGAGAGCGCCGACCCCGAGCTCTGCATCCGGCTGCTGCAGATGCCCTCGGTGGTCAACTACTCCGGCCTGCGCAAGAGGCTGGAGAGCAGTGACGGCGACTGGATGGTGCAGTTCCTGGAGCAGAGCGGCCTGGACCTGCTGCTGGAGGCCCTGGCGCGCCTGTCGGGCCGCGGCGTGGCCCGCATCGCCGACGCCCTGCTGCAGCTCACCTGCGTCAGCTGCGTGCGCGCCGTCATGAACTCGAAGCAGGGCATGGAGTACATCCTCAGCAACCAGGCCTACGTGCGCCAGCTCTCCCAGGGTGAGCCTCGCAGACCGCCTGCGCTGGAGGCCAGGGACTGGGCAGGCCGAGCAGCTCGGGGCCAGGCTCCAGGCCCAGCTCGGTGGCAGGGGTGGTGGCAGGAGACCCCGGTGCACAGGAGGAGACAGTCGGCGGGCAGATGGGGGCGGGGGGCTTCCTGGAGGAGGCACCCATTTTTCATTTGCCCCAAGTCTGAGAACCCCCAGGTCACCTGGAGCCCTGGTCCCTCCACAGGTGTACCCACTTGTCCCCTGTCCTGTGACTGCCCCTTTTCTCCGTCCCTCCCTGCCCACCCTGTGCCCTGCTCCTGCCTCCAGGAGCCTCTGCAGCCATGGCCCCCTCTCCACGCCCATGACAGGCTGCTCTGCTTTGTGTGTCTGCAAAGCTCTACCCCCCCATCAGGTCCAGCTCCCTGACACCCCGACCAGGACGTGTCCCCAGGCCCTGGTGCTTGGAGCCCCGGGTGGGCAGTGGTGGGCGGCAGCCTGTGGGGACGGGTGCCTGTGTGGGTGAGTGAGGCGGCGGTTGCCGTCTGGCCCCATCCAGCCTGGCCGTCCCGGTCTGTAGAGCCCTGTGTGACTTGCTCTCAGCAGGAACAGGCAAAGGCCATCCCAAAACTTCCGCAGCTCAGGGGATGAGGCGGAGGCAGTTGGTACTGAGTGTGAAAAAGACGTGGGCTTGGCCCAGGGGGTCGTGCTGATGGGGTCTCTCAGACCTCAGGGTCAGCCCCAGCCGTACGGTCCCGGAGAGGGGTCTGCGTATGTACCCGGAGTGGTCGCCCCTGATGTGGGCCATGGGGGAGGACAGTGCACCCCCCAGTGCTTGCCTGCTGCCTGCCTTTCCAACTGAAGTGTGGGAGTTCTGGGCAGAGGCAGGGGAAGGGCTGAGGGAGAGGCCTGGCCTGGACACCTGAGCCCCACTGAGACTCGCCCTGGCCCCTGGCAGCTCTGGACACATCCAACGTGATGGTCAAGAAGCAGGTGTTTGAGCTGCTGGCTGCCCTGTGCATCTACTCACCTGAAGGCCATGCCCTGGCCCTGGACGCCCTGGACCACTACAAGGTGAGAGCTGGAGGGCGGGGCCTGGCAGGGGCCTGGGGTGCCAGCTGAGCCCTGCCGCCCCGCAGACCGTGTGCAGCCAGCAGTACCGCTTCAGCATCGTCATGACAGAGCTGTCCAACAGTGACAACGTGCCCTACGTCGTCACCCTGCTCAGCGTCATCAACGCCATCATCCTGGGCCCCGAGGACCTGCGGACCCGCACGCAGCTGCGAGGAGAGTTCATTGGTCAGCCGGCCTGCTCTGCACCCCAGGGAGGGGCCCGAGCCCCTCGACCACCCCTGGGCCCCAAAAGAAGGCTCCGTCCCAGGCCTTGGGAGCCTCCCGTCCCCGCCTGCATCCTTCTGTGGACAGGGCCCGTGGGACCCTAGACGTGAGCCCTGGAGGCTCTCAGGCGGAGGCAGAGTCCTGGCCCGTCTCAGCCCCTCCAGTGGCGACGGCCAGTGTTTGACGGGCCCTCTGCCCAACGAGACAGGTCCCTCTGAGCCTCAGTCCGTGCTGTCCCGCCAGAGTGGCAGAGTCCCCACTGTCCATGGGCTGGGCGTCAGGAGGGAGCCCAGGGGACAGCATCAGAAGGTCCAGGTGGCGGGAGGGCAGGCCTGGCGGAGCAGCCCCAAGAGGCTGACCCCGCGTGTCCTTCCCCAGGGCTGCAGCTGCTGGATGTGCTGACTCGGCTCCGGTGAGTCCTGGCTTGCAGCTCCCGCCTCCCTCTGGGGTCCCAAGCAGCTCCTCCAGGTGGACGGGGCTCCCCGGGTCTCAGCCAGAACCCAGCCACCCCCAGCCCTGCTGGAAAGGCTTCTGTGTGGAACCCTCCTGGGGGCTTGGCAGCTGCCCCCAGAACTGGGGGTGCAGGTGCAGCGCAGTTAAGCCGATTTGCAGACAGACCGCGTTGCTGCGGTGTAAGTACACCCCAGACTTGGTGTGGGGCGTACTGATGCAAAAAAGCCTTCCTTGTTTATCTGAAATTCAAGTGTAAGTGGATACGTGGGAACCCACATAGCAGAGGGCCACCGTTCAAAGCCCCATCAGGACCACTCTCCAGGGTGGCAGCCTGGGGTGGGGAGACTCCAGGAGGAAGAGGCAGGGCTAGTGCTGAACTGCCCTGGGCAAAGGTCTTTGGGGTGCCGTGAAGGGCCGCCCTGCTGCTGAGGGCACAGCTCATTGGCCAGGCTGAGATGACTGGCAGGTCCTGGGCCCAGTGAACACTCAAGCTCCCACTGCCCCTGCAGAAGCCGCACCCCTCTGTGGGGACCCTTTGCTCCTGTGGTGTGGTCTGGGTTCCCCCTTCCCAGCCCTCATCCTGTGAGCCTCTGCCCCTGGACCAGAAAGGTCAGTCCCACTGACCTCGGCTGTCCCTTGGCTACTGTGGCCTCATGCCGGCCTCGGGCCCTGCACACGGGTGTGCATCCATCCAGGGCAGGGGAGGCCAGTGGGGGCTCCGGATCAGCCACCCAGCCCCTCCCACCGCAGGGACCTGGAGGATGCAGACCTGCTGATCCAGCTGGAGGCCTTCGAGGAGGCCAGGGCAGAGGATGAGGAGGAGCTGCTGCAGGTCTGCGGTGGCGTCGACATGAGCAGCCACCAGGAGGTCTTTGCCTCCCTGTTCCACAAGGTGGGCCGGGGGGCCAGGTCTGGAGGCCACGCAGGGAGCAGCCAGGGCTGGATGGGACAGGGCCAGGAGTGGGCAGCCCTGGGACCACAGGTCCAGGAGGAGGGCAGTCCCGAGGCCAAGGTGGCCGGGCTGTGCTGGGCCCCAGCAGGCCGGTCACCCTCTGGTGGCCTGAGGGGCCTTCAGAACCAAGGAAGGCCAGGAGTCTGAGCTGTGGCCTCGCCGGCTGGGACGGCCTGCCTACCCCTGAGCCCTGTGGTTCTCGGACGGGGGCAAGTGCCCCCAGGGGGCTCCCAGAAACACCCGGAGACTTGTAGGTGGTTGGTCGCTAGTGGACAGGGCCACTGTGGAACGTCCCTCGGTGCACGGGGCGGCCCCTAGCCCAGAGAGCTGTCGGCCCCGAGTGCCACCGCCCCCCGGGAACCCCGACACAGACTGGTCACTGGGGCCCAGGAGGTGCGGGGGGGCTGTGGGCTGGCCGCCAACCGCACGCCCACCCCCGCCCAGGTCAGCCGCTCCCCAGTGTCCGCCCAGCTGCTGTCGGTGCTGCAGGGCCTCCTGCACCTGGAGCCGGGCCTCCGCTCCAGCCAGCTGCTCTGGGAGGCCCTGGAGAGCCTGGTGAACCGGGCCGTGCTCCTGGCCAGTGACGGTGAGCGGCCCTGCCCTCTGCCGCCTCCACAGCCCGGCCTGGGCACACCCTGGGGTCTTGGGAGGTGGGGATGGGTGTCCTTCCTCAACCCCTAACCTGTTCCCTGCCGGAGCCAGGCAGCCATGCCCTGACCCCAGCCGCCCTCCCCACAGCCCAGGAGTGCACCCTGGAGGAGGTGGTCCAGCGGCTCGTGTCCATCAAGGGCCGGCCCCGCCCGAGCTCCCTGGACAAAGTTCACAAAGGTGTCCAGGCCGACCTAGGCCAGAGTCAGGGTGGCGGCGCCCCCCCAAGCGTGGGCACCCCAGAGGCGGATCTGAAGGGCCAGCAGCCCCTGGTGACCCCCGCCTCCCTGCCTCTTGTCAGCAACCAGAGTTGGAGCAGTGGGGCTGCCCCACAGCCCACAGCCCTGGGGCAGCAGGCACCCGGCTCACCCCTGCCTGCGGCCAGCCTCCCCGGCTCCCCTGCTGTGCCCCCTCCCCCACCTCCACCCCCTCCCCTGCCAGGCCCAGGGACCTCGTTCCCCCCACCCCCTCCACCCCCTCTACCCCCTCCCCTGCCAGGCCCAGGGACCTCGTTCCCCCCACCCCCTCCCCCCCCTCCCCTGCCAGGCCCAGGGGCCTCGTTCCCCCCACCCCCTCCACCACCCCCATTGCCTGGGCCTTGTGGGACCCTGCCCCCTGCTCCCCCACCACCCCCGGGCCTGCCAGGCATCTCGGACCCCCCTGCAGTGGGTGGTGAGGAGATTATTGTGGCCCAAGTGGACCACCACCTGGGCTCCGCCTGGGTCCCCAGCCACCGGCAGGTGAACCCGCCCACGCTGCGCATGAAGAAGCTGAACTGGCAGAAGCTCCCTTCCCACGTGGCCCAAGGTGAAGAGCCCGATCCCCCCCACAGGCGGCTTCCCTCCGGGGGCCGCTGGGCCCTGCTGGGGGGAGTGGCAGCTGCTGCCTGCAGCACCTGGGCTGCACCTGGGCGCCCTGGCAGGGAGGCCTGCCCCTCCTCTGGGCTCAGCCCCTGCGTGGTCTGAGGCAGGCACAGGGCACAGGTCACCTGTGAGGACCCTTTGCTCCCACACACCCCAGAGGCTAGTGTGTGTCTCCTGCCCAGACCCCTGAGGGCCAGGGTGCTGTGTCCAGAGGCAGCCACAGCCGAGGCCACCAGAGGCCAGGCTGCCACCGGCCTTTACAGGTGGGTGGCCAGGCGGCCTGAGCCTGCCGCACCCCCCCCCGCAGAGCACAGCTCCATGTGGGCCTCGCTGAGCGTCCCGGGGGCCGAGGTGGTGGAGCCCGACTTCTCCAGCATCGAGCAGCTCTTCTGCTTCCCTGTGGCCAAGCCCAAGGAGCCGGCGGCCACCCCAGTCCGGAAGGAGCCCAAGGAGGTGGGGCTGGGGCCTGGGCCTGGGCTTCGGGGCTGCCCCCTCCCCTGTGTGGTCCTCCGGGGACCAGCTGACGGGCAGAGTGTTTTCCAGATCACTTTCCTGGACTCCAAGAAGAGCCTGAACCTCAACATCTTTCTGAAGCAGTTCAAGTGGTGAGCTGCAGGACTGAGCCCCTCCCCGGTGCCCACAGGCCCCGCCTCCCTGAGCTGTTCATTTTGGGCTCAAAAGTGCCCTCTGCAGGCCACCCCTGGGAAGTGCACACCCCGTCTCAGGCTAGGGACAGAGGGGTAATAGCCACAGACTGTCCCAGTTGGGGGCGCTGGAGATGCCCCACCCAGGCTCCCTGGGGAGACAGACCCAGACAGCAGCTGGGATGCCCCTGTGGCCACAGACAGGCGGTGGCCAAGCCAGCGTGAGGACCCGGCCCTCCCTCCAAGGCCCCAGGCCGCCCCCTGGTGCTGCCAAGCCACCGACCCCTGACCTGAGCAGCCACCATGGGGAGGCAGAGGGCGCTCTGGCCCACCGGGCACAGGCTCCCCGACCCCAGCCTCACTGCCCCGTGGCCAGGCAGGTGGCTCGCCTTCAGTGGGTGTGAGAGGAGCTCCTGGTGGGGCCAGCAGAGGTGTCGTGGGCCAAGGGGCGGTCCCCACTCTCTGGCAGGGTCCTGCCACCCCGCCCCACGCCCGCCCGTCCTGTCACCCCTGCAGCCCCAACGAGGAGGTCGCCGCGATGATCCGTGCGGGGGACACCAGCAGGTTCGACGTGGAGGTGCTCAAGCAGCTCCTCAAGCTCCTGCCGGAGAAGCACGAGGTCAGGGCCGGCTGCGGGGTCGGGCAGGGACCAGAGCCGGCAGTCCTGGGGGGGGGGGCTCCCACGGAGAAGGGGCAGGGACTGGGACCCCACCCGTGGGCCTCTTTCCTGCAGATTGAAAACCTGCGCTCGTTCTCGGAGGGCCCGGCCAAGCTGGCCAGTGCCGACCAGTTCTACCTCCTGCTGCTGGGTATCCCGTGGTGAGCTGGGCTGCGGCCGGGGAGGGGAGGGGCAGGCGGGTGGGAACGGGCCCAGACCGGAGGGCGGAGCAGGGCACGGCACCACTCCTGGCGCCGTGTCCCCCCCACTCACGTACCCTCAGCCACAGGGCCCCTCGAGGGGACCCAGGACCCTGCCATCCTGAGAGGGAGGGGTGTCCCCAGGGAGGTGATCGGGCACCCTGGGCGCCAGGTGGGGCTGCCGTGGGATCCCCGCTCTGTGCGGGTGGGCCCTCGGGCCTCGGCCCCCTCACCCGGCCCTGACCGCCCGCTCTGCCGCCCAGCTACCAGCTGCGGGTGGAGTGCATGCTGTTGTGCGAGCACACGGCCGTCGTGCTGGACATGGTGCAGCCCAAGGCCCAGCTGGCGCTCGCCGCCTGTGAGAGTGAGTGAGGCCCGGGGGGCAGCCCGGGGTGGGGATGCCCATCCGGCCTCGAGACCGTCCCTAGACCCTGCCCAGGCCCTGCCCAGCTGAGGCAGGCATGGTACACGCGTGTGCGTGTGCGCACAGGTCCACGCAGGTGCACACGGATGAACGCATGCTCAGCTGTGGCACGCAGAGCCACCGTACACACACATGGGTGCACACACACCACTCTCCCGAGTGACGAGTCCTCGGGGACTCGCTGCAGCTGTGGCAGGAGTGTGGCCCGTCCTGGCCACCAAGGTGCATGCAGCTCGTTTCTGCTGGGGACACAGCAGGGGTCGTCCACTCCCATTTTGGTGACACAGCTGGGGACACGCCCTTCCTGAAGCCCCACAGGACAGTTAGCTGAGAACCAGGGAAGCCACTGGTTCTGGGGGTCCAGTGAACGCTGACGTGGGGACCTGCCCCAGAGCCCCGGCGCCCCAGCCGCCCACCGTACCCACCCTGAGCTGCCCTTCCCGCAGGCCTGCTCTCCAGCCGCCGGCTGCCCGTCTTCTGCCAGTTGATCCTGAAAATCGGGAACTTCCTCAACTACGTGAGTGGCTGCACCCGCCCCCTGGCTGCCCCCCAGCTGGGGAGGCTGAGAGACTCACTCCTGTCCCTCATCCTGTGTCCCACGTCCCCCCCAGGGCAGCCACACGGGGAACGCGGACGGCTTCAAGATCAGCACGCTGCTGAAGCTCCCGGAGACCAAGTCCCAGCAGAGCCGCCTGACGCTGCTGCACCACGTGCTGGAGGTGCCGCAGGGCGGGGGGGGGGGGGCACCCCGGGGCCTTGCTGCTGCTGCCTGGCCCCAGGCCCTCAGGGTGGCACCCATGCCCCACTTTGCCCCCGGCCCCTCTCAGGAGCCCCCATTCAAGACCCTGTCTCCCCTGCCCCTGCCTCCAGCTCCTGTCCAGGCCCAGGAGAAGGGTGGGAGGCCCAGAGTGCCCGGCCTGTCCCAGGGGCATGGCCCCTAGCTGCCAGGGGCTGGGGTGGGCAGCAGGCGGAGGGGGTGGCCACAGCAGTCTCACTGGACATGTGTGGTTGCAGGAGGTGGAGAAAAGCCACCCGGACCTGCTGCAGCTGCCCCGGGACCTGGAGAAGCCCTCCCAGGCAGCGGGGTAGGTGCCTCCTGCCCCGTACCACCCACCCCGGCCACGGCCCCTCCTCGGGTGCCCACCAGGAAGGTGGCTGGACCAGGCTGGGTCTCGAGGCTGCAGTACAACCCCGGGTCCACCAGGAACCCCTGCCCAGTGGGACGCCCACTTTTCTTTGGGACGGGACCTCGTGTCCTCCGTGGCCTGTCCCCATGTGACTCAGAGCAGACAGGGCTAGACAAGGCAGGGAATTTCCCAGCTCTGCTCATGGGAGGGCTGGTCATTGAAGGGTGACCGTGAGCAGGGCCGTGCCCCCCCCCATCACAAGACAGGGGCCTGAGGCCCAGGAACAGGGGCCACACCCACGGGTCACGCAGCCTGGGAGGGCGGCCCTCCCAGGTCCGTTGCCACGGAAGCCTCTCCAGTCCAGTCGTCATAGGCCCGGCACCCACCTTGGGCAGCACCTCACCCCACGCCACTTGGCCAGCCCCAAGGCCCTACGAGCCTCTGGCCACCTCCGTGTGGGTGAGCAGGGCTCCCCGGCCCCATCCCACCTGGCCCCGCCCCCACCTGGCTTTGTAGGATCCACCTTGAGATCATCCGCTCCGAGGCCAGCAGCAACCTGAAGAGGCTCCTGGAGATGGAGCGGAAGGTGGCGTCCTCCTGCCCTGAGGTGCAGGACCAGTACGCCGGGCGCCTGCAGGTGAGTGCGGCAGGCGAGGGGCCCGACCAGGTCTCCAGGGAGGCTGCCCCCCCCAGTGTCTGTCAGGCCTGGACGGGGCAGTGAGCGCGGGGAGGGGAGAGGGAGGTCCAGGGGCCTGTGCCAGTGGCTGTCGCCCCCCATGGCGGGGGCTGCTGGGGGCTGCAGCCTGGCCGTCTCCCAGTAGCAGCCAGCAGGTGGCGCCCGCCACGGGCTCTCCCGGCGGTGACCTGTGTGTGCCCTGCTGCCGCAGGCCAGCCTCGAGGCCTGCCGGGCCCTGGAGGAGCTGCTCCAGGCCGTCGAGCAGAAGCGGCTGGAGCTGGCCCACTACCTGTGCGAGGACGCCCAGCAGCTGTCCCTGGAGGACACATTCAGCACCATAAGGGCCTTCCGGGACCTCTTCACCCGGGCCCTGAAGGTGGGTGGGGCCTGGAGGCCAGGCGGGCTCCCCGGTGCTGGCTGTACGCAGTGGGTGACTGAGGGCCGGGGTCACCGGCTCCGCATCTGCTCCGCAGGAGAACAAGGACCGGCAGGAGCAGGCAGCCAGGGCCGAGAGGAGACAGCGGCAGCTGGCGGAGGAGGAGGCTCGGAGGCCACGGGGCGAGGACGGGAGGCCTGGTGAGGCCCTGCGGTAACGGGCGGGCAGGGGCGGCCTGTCCGGGCTGTGGCCACTGCCCTCCCCAGTCTTGGAGGGCCTCCCTGCTGCTGTGGGTAATCTGTCCAGGCCACCGGCTGGGCTCCGGGGACCCCAGGAGCCTCGCCCCTGAGGGTCCTGGGCCTTCCCAGTCAGGAGGGGAGACACGAGGCAGGAAGAGGTATGTGTCATCGACGCCCTGCTGGCTGACATCAGGAAGGGCTTCCAGCTGCGGAAGACGGCCCGTGGCCGAGGGGACGCAGACCCCCCGAGGGATAAGGCACCTGGTGAGGCCCTCGCCTACCTCTTCACAGTCCTTTCCGCTGCCCCTCCCCCAGCGCCTCCCCTCCTCTGGGAAGCCCCCTCTGATCTCACAGGTACCCCCATGTCTCCTGCTGCCCCAAGAGGGGACGGCCGTGAGCCAGGGCCAGAGTGGCCACATGCCACGACCATGCTGCCACGGCTCTGCTGGTGTGACAGCCATCGTCCAGCCCCTGGGGCGGGCAGGAGGGAACATGGACAGACACTCCTGGGGCTTAGGCCCCCTGTGGACGGACCGCGCAGGCGGAGGCGGGGCCTGCCCACGGACCCCACACTGGGGGCCGCCAGGGAAGGTTCCCAGGGGTGGGGCGTGTTGGGGCAGAAGCTGAGATGGGGGGAGGTGCCCCACTCAGGCTTATCCTGAGAGGGTGCACCAGAGTGGCTTGGGGGCACCCTGCCCCCCCTCACATGCCCCCCACTCACATGCCCCCCACTCACATGCCCCCCACTCATCCACAGGGGCCTTCAGAGCCGCCACAGCGGGCCCCGTGGGAGGCCCCAGCTGCCCTGCTGCTGGCCCTGTGGCAGCAGCCAGGGAGCCCCAGGACTGGGACCTTGTGGATGCCGCCGCCCCCAGCCCGCAGCCCCCCAGAGACCCGCCAGAGGTGGTCGGCCCTGGGCCCCAGGAGAGGCGATCGTCCTGGTACGTCGACGCCAGCGATTCCCTGCCTGTGGAGGACGCCCTGAGCTCCCAGCCCTCCGCCGGGGCCTGGCCAGTGGTGCTCGGGGACACTCAGGCCCTAAAGCCCCTCCAGTTCTCCACGGACAAGCCCCCTGGGGCCCTGGGCTCAAGCCAGGACACCGAGGCCCCCACCACCCCCCAGGACGTCTGCCAGGCTGAGGCTGACAGCACAGGGGATGGGCCAGGGGACACGGTGGCCCGTGGCCGAGGAGCCCGCCTCCCCGCTGCAGGCCCTGGTGAGGACGGGGACAAGGAGGACACGGCCCCAGAGTCCGCGCTGGACACGTCCCTGGACAGGTCCTTCTCTGAGGATTCGGTGACTGACTCCTCAGGGTCCGGCACCCTCCCCAGAGCCCAGAGCCGGGCCTCAAAGGGTACAGGCAGGCGGCGGCGGAAGCGCCCACCACGCATCCAGGAAGGTAACGTGGGCCCCCACAGGCAGGACCTGGGTGGGCAAGTCACACTGGGCTCTGGGCTGGGACTTGTGGTCACGCTCGTCCCTGCCAGCCAGTACCCTGGGCCCCTCCCTGCAGCCAGTGTTGCCGCTGTCCCCAAAGGGTGGGTGGCTCCTGGGAGTCACAGCAGCTGCCCCAGAAGGGGCAGCTGGGGGGCCACCGCCTGCATCGCTGCCCCTCACCCACTAACTCCTGCCCACCCGCTGCACAGGGAGGGTGCCCAGCCCCGGAGTGAGGGGAGGCGAGGGGCCTGGGTGCCCTGCATCTCGGCATCCAGGGTGCTCGGGGGCCATAAGTGGTTGAGTCTGTTTCTTTTATCTGGAAGCAGAGGTTGCCCCCGAGTCCGACGATAGTAAAACTAAAAGGTTCTGTGTGGTCCAGTAAGGTAGGTAGCGGCCTGGCACTCTGCACTAATGCCGGTGGCGGTGGCGGTGGCGGTGGCGGTGGCCTCCCCAGCCCTCCTGGATACTAACCCGGCTACCCTGCAGCCCCCCTGTGCTGCTTGTGGGGGGCTGCCTGGCCCCGTTGTCCCCCCCGGCCCCACTCTGGGAGGGCAGGGGCTGTGCCTTGCTTAGCTGGCGTTGCTTCCGCGGTGGCAGGTGTGACCTCGGAGCTGCCCTCGGATGTGGCTGCCCTCCGGGGTCAGGGCTCCAGGGCCTGGGGTGGGGGCAGGTGGGCCTGGCAGGACAGGCCGAGGTTGCCTTGTCCTTAACCCTGGGCTTCACAGACCCCACGCCGAGTGGCCCCCAGATGACACCTTCACTCTGGGTCTGTCCACAGGACACACCCCAGCCCTGCCCTGGCCCTGGTGCTGGCCATTCATTTCCCCAGGGAGACAGTGAGGGACCAGGATGATGGGTACCAAGGACAGAAGGCCAGGGGTGAGCAGGCGGCGCTCCCTCAGCAAGGTCTGCAGCTCCCTGTCCCTGGAGGCCAGGCCCTGAGGACAGCCCACGGGAGTGCAGGAGTCCCTGGGACCCTCACCTGTGGGCAGGGCAGGCAGGGTCTTGGGCATGACCGGAGAGGTCACAGATGCCACCACACAGACAGGCTGGGTCCTTCTTGTGACCCGGCCTGCGCTGAGTCGGGGGCACCCGGTGCGGGGAGCCCCCGCCCCCGCCCAAGGACAGTGCAGGCCGGCGGTCTGCTCCCCACGCGCCTCCAGCCGGTGCCCTCGGCAGGAGCCGGGTGCGGTGCGGTGTGCCCTCCGTGTGGTTTGTCCTCACTGCCGCACTTTCCTGGTCCCAGGCTTGGTCCTGGTCACTCCCCGAGGTGGGCTCTGGGGTCACCCCTCACTGGTGCTTTTTACAGCAGCACTGGCAGCAGGCGGCCTCGAGTGTCCACTGCCCAGTGAAGGCCAGTGTGCCCAGAGCGGGTCTGTGCCCCCCCCCCTCCCGTCACCGTAGGCCACGCCAGGCCCTGTCTGCAGGTGCCGCCCTCCCGGGCTCAGGGCCGGGAAGGAACCCCACTTCCTTGCGGCCCAGCGTCATGTTTGGAAAAACTTCGACCTGACAGGCAATTGGCAGGACAGCAAAGTGACACCGCCCGCCCTTCGCTCTCCCGGGAACGGGAGAACTTGCCAAGTGCTGTTTGTACTTGGCACCCTGTCCCCTCAGCTTCACTGGACAACATCAGGGCGCTTGGCCCTGAGTTTTCTCCTGAGCCCAAGGCCGTTGTCCCCAGGACAGCTGGGCGGTGACCGTCCCCTGCAGCCGGGTGTCCTGGCCACACCCTCGCAGTTGCTGATCTGGCCGCAGCCTCTGTCCTGCCCACAGACCGGACAGACCGGAGACACCTCCACTCCGGTGTGTCTGGTCCCCCAGTGCCCCCTGTCCTGAGGCGGGATTTCCAGACTCAGAGCCTGACGGGACAAACTTGGGGTCCTCTGTCCCTTGCTTAGTGAGGGTGACGCCGATCCCTGTGAGGTGGTGATGTCACAACCCCTGTGGCTGTTTGCTGATTCGTACCCAGCCTGGCAGGGGTGCTGGCTGGCGTCCCACTGGGCCTGCAAGACACTGACTTCCTTCTTTCTCCCTGTGGTGACTCCGAGTCTCGAGTGACCCATCACGTCGTCCATGGTGACGCTGCCAGGCCCCTGCTACCACCTCTGGCCCCTCCCCTCCCCGGCCGTTTGTCCTGGCGCTCTGCGGTGGGGACGGCACCTGCGGTCAGGGAGTCCTGTCTCTCTGGTTCTGCCACACTGGCCCTGTCTTCTTGTGAGCAGTGGCTCTTAGACCAGAGGCTGCCGAGCCCTCGGGGCACAGCACCCAGCCCCGGGGTGGCCGTGGGGTGGGGCACCAGCGGGAACGGGTAGGTGTGCAGGGCGGGGGGGCAGGAGGCCAGCCTGAGGGCCGTGCGGAAGTGCCTGTCGGAGCCCCAGGGGGAGGGCGTGACAGCGGAGACCCAGCGAGGGCAGAGTGCGGCCTGGGGCTGAGACACAGGAGGGAGACGCAGGGCTCCACCCACCTCACGCCAGAGCCGGGGGCAGCACCGACCCGGGGCGCCTTGCTGCCTGGGAAAGGGCCTGGGTCAGAGTGGCCTCAGGGGCACAGAGTGCAGTCTCTACACAGTGGTAGCAGGACCACTGGGGCCTTGGGACCCTGACGTGGGCTGCAGGACCCCTTCTAACCGTAGCTTCTGTCCCTCCCACAGGCCTCAGGCCCAAGCCCAAAGCCCAGTGACAGACACGCAGCAGCCTCTACGCAGCTGTGGGCCCTGAGTGTGCCGCTGGGCAGAGGAGCGTCCGCGTCCCGGGAACCCCAAACTCCGTGCCTTACCCAGCCAGGGACGGGCCTCCCTGAGCATTCTGGGGACGTCGAGGCCGGGACCCCAGCAAGCACCTGGCAGCCTGCCTGGTGCCCCCCTGGACTGCCTGCACACGCCAGCCCTCCCTCTGTCCCTGCATGGCCACGGTGCCTGCTTGCCCGCGGGGGGTCTGGAGGCTGCGTCCCTCTGAGCTTGCACCCCCTTTCCAGGGACCTGGCACCCAGATTCTTCTGGAGACAACCCCTTCCAGACCCCTCCCCCTAACCCGTGGGAGCCAAATAGAGCTGGAGCCCCCCACTGCCCCCTTACTGGGCCCCCATTCCCGCTGCCCGGCTCTGCCCCCCAACATGCTCAGCTGGGCCGGAACAGAGTGATTTTAACAAAAATGTGATTGTCGTGTCTGCCGTTCTGCGGTGTCCTCGGGCAGGGGCGGGCTGGCGGACCCTGCTCAACAGAGGCGTGGGGGCCCCGTGGGTCGGCCCCCCCGCCAGGCATCCAGCCTGAGGGTGGGAGGCGCCCGCCCTCCCGCAGCCAGGACCAGCCCCTTGTCTGCAGAGCCCTGCGCCCTGCTGCTGTTAGGGCCAGCGCTCCCCTCGGGACTGAGAGGAGGCGGAGGGGACTGGAAGGGTCCTTCTGGGGGCTGCCACCTGTCCTGACCGCCCGTGAGGGCGGCCTGCCCTAAAGCGGCCCAGCGGGTCGCAGAGCCGGCCCAGCACAGCGGTGTGCAGAGCTGTGAGTGGACGTGGGGGCCTGAACCCCATGACGGCTAAACGGGTGGACAGACTGGTCCAGGGATGGGGGTGGAAGGCCGGGTTAGCAAGCAGGTCACCCAGTGGGGGCAGGGACAGGGGGACTGCGATGGGGGCAGAGCCACCCTCTGGGGGCTGGACTGCACACTGGAGCTTGCCTGTCGTGGGTGGTGTCAGCCAACGGGCAAGGTCACAAAGTCCTCACCCCGGTCCGGTTCTGAGGCATCTCCATCACCTTCGATAACGCCCCTTGCACCCCCGGCCACCCGCCCCAGCCGTGTCCCTCTGGTTTTTGCGAGCACTTCACCTCAGGAGTAAAGTCACACTGGCTTCTGTCCTTCTGCCTGTTTCTGAGGCCCCTGCCCCTGTCGTGGGGGGTCACTCGCACTCCGAGTGGCCCCTGCGCCCTGGCCCTCCCGTCGGCCGGCGGGCACGTTCTTCCAGACACCGCCCCCCCCCCCCCGCGCACGCTGCCTGTGCCGACGGGCGCGTTCTCTCCGGGGCTCGGCGTGGCGCTGGCGGGACTGAGGCCCTCGGCATCCAACTGGAAGAAGCTGCCACGTGGACTCCCAGGCGCTGCACCATGTCCCATTCCCACCACGCACAGTCTCAGGTTCCAGGGCCAGGCATCTGGGTCGCGGTCACCTGACGTCCCCTGTGAGCTGTGACCCCACCACGGACACCCTGCTGGCCCCGCCCACGTGCTCCCTGAGACTGTGTCAGTGGGCCCCAAGCTTGGTGACTTGTACTGCCACCACCCTGGTGACAGGCCCAGGCCCATGTGCACAGGGCCACTGTGTGTGTGTGGGGGGGGGGGTGGCAGGGAGGGTTCTAATTTGGGCTGGGCCGTGTGACTGGCGGGGCCCCAGCTGCCGGGCCTGGACAGAGTTGTTTATGGGAAGGCCAGACGCCCCCGGGCTGCTGGCTATTTATAGACTGGGGCTTAGGGGACTTGGTGCCAGCACTTGGCCCTGCAGGGCCTGTGGAACCCAGTGGTGTCCCCTGGTCCCCATCTGGGTCTGCCTGGGTGGGCGGGGCTCAGCCCCCAGGCGTGGGCAGAGAGAAGCACCCCCTCAGCGGATAGTAGGTGTGAGGCCCCCAACCCTCACATGGTTCGTGGTGGGTGTGAAGGGCCCCGCTGCCGTCTTCTGGGAACGAGCCTCCGAATTCCCCTGGTCCCTCCTGCTAAACCCAACACACAGCCAGCCACTGCACCCCAAACTCTCACCCACCTGCACCCCCCGGCCCCCAGGGCATTCAGAACCGCTGGCCCTTCACCTCAGCCACCTCCCAGGCTGCTCATTCTGGCCCTGCTCTGCCACTGTCACCAGAGGCTGGACACGGGCCGGCACCTCGACCCCGGCTTGTAACCCACGTTCTGGGTTTACCCTCAGCAGTGCGGAGGGGAAGGAATTATGGGTGTCCCGTGTGGGAAGGGGCAGAGCACCCCGCCCAGGGCCGCTGCCAGGGCCCCTGCCCAGAGGCAGAGAGGAGGAGGAGGTGGGCAGGGCAGCCCTCTTCGGGGGCCAGAGGAGTCACTGCTTCACCAGGGACCCCAGGGTCCTCTCCCTCCTCCCTGGGGAACGTCTGGTCTCCCTGTCTCCAGCCTGGGAGCCCCAGGAGCCCCCAGGGATGGAAGGAGGGGCCTGACTCCCAGCCCTGGAGCTCAGGCCGAAGAGGGCATCGCTGTCCCCAGGGGCCCATCCCTCGTCCCTTCTCCCAGCCAGGGGGCTGGCAGTGTGCAAGCCAGAGTCCACCGTGGCTGCGTGTGGCTGCGGCAGCCCAGCCCCTGGTCAGGCAGCCTGTCCCGGCCCCCAGTCCTTCCACACCTGGGGCAGGAGAGCGGTCTGGCGCCGGCCTCCCAGAGCCCAACCCTGGGCATCCCTGACGCTCCCCCGCCCCGCCCAGTGCCCTGACAGCCTGGGTTGGCCCTTCCTTCCGGACTCAGGGCCCTGAGGACCCAGAGCAGCCCGGCTCTGGGGTGCAGCCCGCGTGCTGGCACTGGCGTGGGCAGGCGCAGACCCACAGTGTGTGCCTGTTGCCTGGCCCCAGCTCCTGAGGGAGGCGCGCTGTCCTCTGCGCGGCCACCAGAGGGCGCACGCGCCGGTCCAGGGGACCGGGACTCTCAGTGGGCAGGTGCGCACCTGCGTCGGGCGTGGGGACCCCGGAGTGGGCACAGAGAGGGAGCCCCCCTTTTGCAGGTCGCACGCCCGCGCTGGGGGCGGGGAGCCTGCAGTTGCCAAATCCTCGAGGTCCGGGCCCGGCGAGGTGGGATCGCAGCGCCCAAGCCTGCCCCGGGGCTGGGGGGTGAGGGGTGGGAGGCGGGAAGGCCCTGGTGACGTCCCCGGGGCGCCCGGCCAGGCCCGAGGGAGGGACCTCGGAGCCAGCCGTCGGTTCGTGCGCCCCAAAGTGCCTGTAGCCCAACTTAGCTCCTGGCGGCAGCGGGGGCGGGACCGGGGCCGGAGGTCACCCAGCGTCACGGGGCCCGCCCCCCGCCCCCGACCGGCGCCTTTTAACTGCGGGACCCGCGGGCTCTGGGCGTCCAGCGCTGCGGGCGAGCAGGGCAACATGTCAACGACCCGCGCCTCCAACGACCGGCCCCCCGGCGCGGGCGGCGTCAAGCGGGGGCGGCTGCAGCAGGAGGTGGCAGCGACTGGCTCCCGGGTGACGGTGGTGCTGGGCGCGCAGTGGGGTGACGAGGGCAAAGGCAAGGTGGTGGACCTGCTGGCCACGGACGCCGACATCATCAGCCGCTGCCAGGTGCGCCGGCCACTCCCCACCCAGCGAGCCCCCCCACCCCACCCAGACTGGCACGCCTCGTGGAGCCCTTCCTTCCGGGGACACCTTCCCAGCGGCCACCCCCACCCACCCACACAGGCCCACAACACCCACTCCCCGAGCTCTCCCTTCCCTCCTGCACAGGACACCCCACCCCGCAGACCCCACCCGCCCCACCCCCACCGCTGCAGTGGCCCAGGGGCAGAGCTATAAATACAAGCCCTGCTGAGTTGGGGACACCCGATCCTCAGGGGGTGGGGTGTGCCTGGGGTGTGCCGCCGGGCCCTCCAGTGGGGGAGGAGGCGAGGAACTGGGGTCCCCGCCTCCTCCAGATGGCTTGAGGACCCGGGGGACGCCCTGTTCCCCATTCTGTCCCATTCTGCCCCGTCTGGGGTGGGGCTGGCCGACTCCACACAGCACAGCACTCACCCACGAGGTGGGGGCTGGGGGCGGGCAGGGCCAGCAAGGCGTCTCTGGGAGGCGGTGACCCTGGGGTGTCTGCCAGAAGGAGGCAGAGGCCAGGGCGGGACCGTGGGGAGGACCCGAGGGAAGGCGGGGCGAGGAGGAGGAGGTGCTGCTGGAGGAGGGGGTGGGAGGAGCCATTGACTTCTGGCCCGGGCGTCCAGGCTTTGTGCCCCGAGGGCCTAGGGCAGGGCCTCTGCCTGCTTCAGGCTGAGGGACGCTGGGCGCTCTCAAGGGGCCAGTGCCCTGGGGCCTGCCGGGCTGTGCTCACCAATGGGGCCCACGGAGGGCAGGGTGCAGAGGGGCTGACTGTGGGCGCGTGCACTTGTCCTGGGGCTCAGAGCCAGCCTCTCCACTCAAGTGACGCCCACGGATCTCCACAGGCAGCACTGGCCTGTCCCCTCCTCAGGGTGACTGTGCAGTTAGTTACCGTCCGCACCCCACCTGGATGCCTCTGGGAGCTCCTCCCAGCTGTGCAGACGCAGCTCTGCCCGGGCCGGCTGGCTGGGCCCTGCCCACCCCCATCACCGCAGAGGGGACAGACACCCAGGGCCTGGCAGGCCGGGGCTAGCGTCTGTCTGGGCGCTGCCTGGAAGGGCTACTGCCAGCCAGCCTCGGTGACTGCGTCACCTGGCCTGTCACCTGGGCCTTCGGGAGGTGGCCTCATCCTCCATGGCTGCACTTTCTTCATTCTCATCTTGGTTGTTTGGGGCCTGGGACCCCACCCTGGGCTTTGGGTTCCTCTCACTCTCTTCTTCAGCTGCAGGCCCCTTTCTGGGGCCACCTTATGTCCAGTGTCCCTGTGACCTCCTGTGCCCCAGGCCTCACCAGGGCGCACAGGAGGCCAGCAGTTCTTGGCTGGAACTGGATGGATGGATGGATGGGACCTGCCAGCAGGCTGCAGGGCTGTGGGACCTCGTGGCTTCCCCCAGACCCAGTCCCAGTGTCCACCTGAGCACCGGCCCTGCTAACTGTTGATGGAGCCCGCTGCCGCCCCGGCCACCCGGAGATCTCCGCCCCGGCCACCACAGCCACAGCCACAGCCACAGCCACACCGCACTGCTCCCGGCCTCTGAGGAGCTGTCCACACCGCCCCATGCTCACCTCTGCCGCCTGGACACTGACGGGCCGGGTGGGGCACCTGGGCCACCGGGGCCCTGTGTGGCCAAAGTTGCCATCCATCTGTCAGCCATCCAGGGGACCCGTGTGGTGGGGAACCCCAGAGGGCGGGGGTGGCTGAGTGGGTGGCGAGGATGGAGAACCTGGCCAGTCAGAGGTCACAAGAGGGTGGCGTCCAAGTGGACAGCAGAGTGCACAGGACGAGGACAGATACTGGAGAACAAGAGGCTCACAGAGCTCCATCTGGGGAGCCCCGCCCC